TTGTTGTTGTTGTTGTTGTTGTTGTTGTTGTTGTTTTTGAATTTTGAAGTCTATAGTCTATATTCTCACGGTGGTGTTGCTGTTGTTGTTGTTGTAGTTGTTGATGTTTTTGCTGTTGTTGTTGTTGTTGTTGTTGTTGCTGTTGTTGTTATTGTTGTTGTTGTTGTTGTTGTTGTTGTTGTTGTTGTTGTTTTTGAATTTTGCAAGTCTATATTCTCACGGTGGTGTTGCTGTTGTTGTTGTTTTGGTTGTTGTTGTTGTTGTAGTTGTTGATGTTTTTGCTGTTGTTGTTGTTGTTGTTGTTGCTGTTGTTGTTATTGTTGTTGTTGTTGTTGTTGTTGTTGTTGTTGTTGTTGTTGTTTTTGAATTTTGAAGTCTATATTCTCACGGTGGTGTTGCTGTTGTTGTTGTTGTTTTGGTTGTTGTTGTTGTTGTTGTTGTTGATGTTTTTGCTGTTGTTGTTGATGTTGTTGTTGCTGTTGTTGTTATTGTTGTTGTTGTTGTTGTTGTTGGTGTTGTTGTTGTTGTTGTTGTTGTTGTTGTTGTTGTTGTTGTTGTTGTTTTTGAATTTTGAAGTCTATATTCTCACGGTGGTGTTGCTGTTGTTGTTGTTTTGGTTGTTGTTGTTGTTGTAGTTGTTGATGTTTTTGCTGTTGTTGTTGTTGTTGTTGCTGTTGTTGTTATTGTTGTTGTTGTTGTTGTTGTTGTTGTTGTTGTTGTTTTTGAATTTTGAAGTCTATATTCTCACAGTGGTGTTGCTGTTGTTGTTGTTTTGGTTGTTGTTGTTGTTGTAGTTGTTGATGTTTTTGCTGTTGTTGTTGTTGTTGTTGCTGTTGTTGTTATAAGTGTTGTTGTTGTTGTTGTTGTTGTTTTTGAATTTTGAAGTCTATATTCTCACGGTGGTGTTGCTGTTGTTGTTGTTTTGGTTGTTGTTGTTGTTGTTGTAGTTGTTGATGGTTTTGCTGTTGTTGTTGTCACGTGCTCCTGGGTGCCCAAATCACCTGGTCACCACGCCAGCAGGTGACAACTTTCACACCAAGGTTCAACTCGGGTTCAACTCGAGTGACAGGACTGCACCCAAAAAAGGTCAAACAGGCTACTAAGTTGTACCCTGCAGGCACGGTGACCAACTGACTGGTGTACGCAGGAGCACGTGACGGCTTGTTCAACCATGTTCGATTGGGAATAAAAGAGGAACGCTGCATCGCAGCCTTTTCGGACCAAAACCAGTCGACTCAGCGTCCAAAAGACTACAACATATGGGCCAATCGCGATGATCTGTGCTTTTATAAGAACGAAATGGCGCTTTTAGTGACATTTTGCATACAAATCCCCATCTAGTAGGGCGCAGTCACCCAGTTTCGGTGGAAGTGCGCGAGTTCGATTGGGATTCAAGTAGGAAGGGAGCGTCGCAGCTTCCTCGGACCAAGACCATTCGACTCAGCACCCAGAAGACTACAACTGGTGAAAATTTGATTTTAGGGTATACTTCCCCTT